TTTTTTTTTTTTTTTTTTTTTGGTACCAGGGATCAAACTCAGGTCCTTTTACTTGCAAGGCAGGCAGCAGAACCACTATCTAAATCCCTAGCCCCTAAAGCCAAATCTTCTTGTATCTTTGGATGGAGCTTCTTGGGGCCAACAATGCATTTCTGGTACTGTATTCTATCTCGGTCTCATCAGAATTAGAAGAATTGGGCACTCGCATATCTTTTAGCACCCAGCCAAGACTGATTATACATCAGTGAGAAAATTGCTCCCAGGCCTCTGAGACTGCTTTCCTGCTATATAATGTGTTAGTCTACCTGGCCCTTTGCGGAAAGATTCAATGAATAGTTTTCAATTTATAGACTTTTCAAGACTTTCATTTAAAAGCAAACAAGCAAAATCCAAACCTGCTACAGATAAGACAATTTCTCTTATGCCAAAGGCAGATTTATATTAAACCAAAAACTTCACAATAATTCACAACTGGAGAACTTCAGGACCTTGATTTAGGTTGGGGAATTAGGTAACTTTCTTTACTGTTTAGAATTCTTTTCTTACAAGCAAAGAAGGGTAATGATCTTTAAGTTAATATTGAAATATTTATTAATGTATTAGGCTCAGTGGGCTAGCATTTTTATAATTTAAGTGATGGCCAAACTTTCTATTTTCTAAGAGTGACCAGAGAGTCTTGGATGCTACCTCAGATGGTAAAAGGAGTAAAAGGAGTAAAAGGAGTAAAAGGAGTAAAAGGAAGGGCTCCTCTGTGTAGGCAAATTTAGAGAGAAGAGAATTTTTTAAAAAGCTGCTTATAGTCCGGGGGGAGGGGTTGCACACCTTTAATCCCAGAACATGGTGGGCTGAGGCAGGAGGATCACTAGGAGTTCAAGGCCAGCCTGGGGTATAGTAAGTTCAAGGCCACCCCCAATAACATAGCGAGACACTTTCTCAAAACACACAAGCAAAGTACGGCTTTTTAGATTGTAATTTCATCTGTTCAGCATTCTGGTTACAATAATATGCTAGCCATGTGTCTAGTGAAGGAAAGTTGACCAATTCCGTATGTAAGGAATACACTTCCCAGGGTTTTATTTCATTCAACTGTCTCCATTCTTAACTTGTAAGTTAGATTTAATGTCTAATGAAATGTCTAAGAAACTGTCTAATGCAGCACTTTTCACATTGTGGGTGGAAATCCATTCATAAGGCCGTAAAATCCATACAGGAAGTCTTTACCAATATTAAAAAAAAAAAGAAGTGGAACCTAAGCAAATGGAACAGATCGGAATGGAATGGAATCAAATTGAATAGAAAAATGTAATGAGAGTGCTGTAGAGCAATAGGTTGTGTAACTTTCGTGAGTGGTCACAGTCAAAGTGTTTGAAAAACTCTGACCTAATGACATTAGAAGAATTGCTGTGCCTGTCAGAGGCTCTGGATTTGCTAGTATACTCCTGGGGCATCTCTTGGTGACTTCTGTAGAGTCCCAAAAGGCATTTGCTCTGCTTTGCAAAACTGCGAAGAGCAGTTTTATTTTAGATCTTCCGTGTTCTTTTAGTCTTGGTAAGAATATTTATTTATTTATTTCTGGTACTGGGGATCGAACTCATGACCTTGCTGTTGTGAAGCAGGCAGTGGAACTAATGAGCTAAATCCCCGGCCCTATAGTAAGAATATTTAAACGGGGCTGTGAATAATGATGTATGAGAAAAATTGTTGAAAGAGTAGAAATTTGTATTTGGGAGAAAATAAAACAAAAATAGTACATGATCTTGAGTATCTCCTAGGGACTCCAACTGCACAGTTATGTGAGCTGCATACCTAGATTCTAGAAAATCTCCCTTGACTCTGCTGAGGTTTAGGTGTGTGCAGAACCGGAAAACCGTTCTGGGTAGTACTGAGCCAGGAATCCTACCCTTATTCCTGGCCCCATGGAAATCAATATTATAGGAAGGCCAGAAACATGGGCAAGAGAAGGGAGAGAAAGATTTCTTTCGCAAAGTGGAGTGACCTCTTTCCAATAACGCATGATCGATCACTGCATATGGCACACAACTACCCAGTACGGAAAAAATAAATAACTTTATAATCTCTATGTCCAGAAATGACTGTTAATAAAATAGCAACTCCGTAAAGGCATTTCATGAATATGTACATATGTCCGTGTGTATAAAGCATGCACACATGCATACATTTACATGTGCGTGATTCTATTTAGCTCTGTCACCCATTTATTTCACTTGTGGTTCGCAGACACATTTCACTATCAGTAGATGAAGACGGACTTACCGTGAGAAGGACAAGGGCAGTGTGATAAGCACAGTATATTAACAGCCCTTTCTCCACAGACCCTTCAGTTGCCCCTGCCTTGTTGTTGCTATAGACAACGTTTCAATGACATACCCGTGGACGTTTATCTTTTTTAATTTGACTTATTATTTACGCAGAGTAAATTCCTGTCGGAATTTAGGATAAATTGCTGAGTCAAAAGACATGGGTGTTTAAATTTTGAAATCATATTGCTAGATTGCCCTCCGAAAAGCTATGACACCTAGGTTTTCTCTAACAGTTTATTAGAAGGCGTATTTTCCCACACCACAGAGCACTATTTATCTTTCAAACTTTTGCCAATCCCTCCCACCTTTTTCTTTCTTTCTTTCCTTCTTTCTTTCTTTCTTGCTTGCTTGCTTGCTTGCTTGCTTTTGTGTTTGGTTACTGGGGACCAAATTCAGGGCCTTGCACTGGCCAGGCAGGCGCCGTGCCGCTGAGCCACATCCCCGGTTCTCCTTTGTCCTTCTCATCTGTAGCCACGATACTGCACTGTGATTTGAATTCCCACCGATTGGTCGGCATCTTTGCGCCTGCTGGCTGGACACACAGGTGTCCACGTGACTCGCGTGATCGCTCCCCTTGCCTGGAGTTCTGCCTGAGGGTCCGTCCTTGTCTTGCTGAGTTATAAGGGTCCTCCTGTAGCACGACTACTCACCTCATGTCAGTCGCATGCGTGGTAAGTAATTTTCCCCAGCTTGCGATTTACGCTCCTCAACTTTTCCTTTGCACAGAGTTTTGCTTTTGAGTGGTAAAATCGATATTTTTCATTATGGGTTCTGGAGGGGAAACTTTTTAGTATAGAATCAGAACCACTCTGAAGCCATCTTCAAAGCTCAGAGCCTGCAAATAATTTTCATTTTATCAACTTCAGAAGTCATATCCTGTTCTTACTGGCTCAAGACCTCCGAAAGGTTTATATACTGTGGTACAACACCCCCAACACACAAAGGAGAGGGACAGGAAGCTGTGTTTCTGAGACTGTAACAACACACGAAAAAGAAAGAAAAAGCCTCCTATAGTTTCCATTTCAGGCAGAAAAGCAGGTCCTAGTGTCCTTGACTGAATACTAGCTGCTCTCCTAAAATCAGCTCTCTGTCCTTGATGTTCATTAGGCTTCAGGTACAGTCTCACCAGCACAACACATGGCTTCTTTTCCACCCAGTGACAAAGTCTTGCTCTGGCCTCATCCCCTGGAATTTGCCATGAAAGACTCACACGGACCATGCCATAAACAGTGATGCCAACCTCTTTAATGAAAGCCCCCAAAGTCACCATCCAAACAGGACCCACCGAGACAGCATCTGCCCTGCCACTGGCCTTAGCTGCTTCACTCACCTCAGGGAATTTCTTCTTCTGTACATATTCAGTGGTGGCAGCATCAAAATACTTGGCATAGCCCTCATTGAGGCTGAAAATCTTTCCTTTCTTCTTAATCTTGACATCTTTTTCTACCAGCACGAATTCACCAAGAGCCTAAAGAGAAGATGAGAGACATCAGGAAGAAGAGAGATACCAGTAAACAGAAGCCAACAGCATACCTCACATCAATCACAAGATAATGGGTGTAGGGCTGTGGGAAGAACCCAGGGGTCTTCTCTGGTCATCCTGGAACTTGCCCTGTGGTGTTTTCATGGGTGGTAGAAAGATCAGCCGTAATACAGACCTAAATAGGAAGCTCAGAGAGCAATGGAATAGGAGATATAAAGTAATTCAAGGAGCAGGGCATATTGGTGCACGCCTGTAATCTCAGTATAGGGAGGATGAGGCAGGAGCGTTTCTGTGAGTTCAAGGGCAGCCTGAACTACATAGCAAGACCCTGCCTCAAAAGAAAAAAAAAAGAGGAAAAATGTTTGTGGTCTTCTTTCTTTACTTCGGAGCCTTCCAACGTCTTCGAGGCTGTTTGCTTCTGAGAAACTTAGCTGTATTTGTTCCCAAATTCTCATTCTGAGCTCAATGTTCTCTGGAAGATTTAGGCCCTCAACAATGAGAGAAAGAGTTAGGGAATTAGTGGGAATGCAGTTTGACCACTCATTTGTGGTCTAGTTATTTTATCTTAATGATTCTCTCTTAGAACCCATTAAAGTTCCTGGCATCTCAACCACTTCTGTCTGGAGAAAACAAGAAGTTCCTCACATCAGATTCTGTGTTCCCGCAGCCTAAACAAATAGGTAGCAAAAACTCAAAGGACCCTCAGAGTGATTAATACAATTGTGCCCAGGACTCCACCAGCCCTGCAATAGCCACTGTGGACAACATCTTCAGGACTCCCCTCAAGATGTCCTTTATCTGGTTCTGGTGACGGTGGGCCCTATGGAGGTGACTGATCTAGCGGCAGGCTGGTGACTGGTCACCAGGAGGAAAATCAGGGCTGATGCATATTGAAGACTTTAGAATGAAGAGCTCCTTGAGAGGACAGCTCCAACGGGTAGCTCGACCAGGAGATAAGTGAAGAAACTCAAACTTCGCTCAGTGAGTACAGAGACAAAGCCTCACGGTGAGAAGTGCGTATGCTCAGCAACTGCAAAAACAGCCAACCATTCCTCTCTTCTGCCTAGCGTGAGTGGTCACTGCCTCTTTGCTATGAGTCACTGCCTTCCTCTGAATCTTCTGCTGCCTAGAAAGAAATGATTATGATACTAGTTACCACTTGCACCCACTTCTAGATAATGTCCCAATCAGAACAGATCCCACTTTCCTCAGATTGCCTTGGAATCATCAAGGAAGGCCCAAGAGCTAATGATGAGCCCACCCTAACTCTCTCGGCAAGGTGTCAGGCAGGACCCTTTCCCAGAAAAACCTAAGTGTGCTCCTGGTAGTCTTTGGTTCGTCAGCTTTACTAAGTCACTGTGGACATCTGTTGCTTTAGATCAACCACCATTGAGATTCACGCCTTTGAGCACCCACTTTTTTAAGGAGTTGCTCTTTCAGGGACTCTTGTCTGGGCCCCTTTAGCCCAAGGCCGAGCATGTGACTTAATCTGGAAAATTAGACATTGTTTTGCTTTTTCTCTCATTGAGTTTATTGGTACATTTTAGGTATACAGTACAGTTACATTCATCATTGGGATCCTGTACCTCTACATGACAGGTCTTGGTTCTCATTTTTCCCCCTTGTCCCTGCCCTCCCTTCACCCCTTCTCCCCCCCATTTACAAACACTTTATTTCCATTTTTTCATTTTCTCATATTTTTTCCCTTATAACCTTTCCCCTACCCTTCCCACTTTCCCTACACCTTTAGCCCTTTTCTTCCTATTTCACACTGTCAGTTATCTCATTAGGATCTTATGTACTATTATAATTTTTCACACCAGAGAAACTATTTGGTATTTACAAATGTGTGACTTATTTATTTCACTTAGGAGGATATCCTCAATGTAACGTGGAAAATTAGACATTCTTATGCTTTGGGGCATAGTAGGTACTCTGTAAAGATTTGTAAATCTAAGTTTTGAAATACTAAGCTTTCCAGTAAGTGAATACAGGACTCTTGGACCAAAATTCTTTGGGTTTCCAAAATTATTTGGCAAAGTAGTTCACAAATGATTGACAAAGTATTGAGCATTTAAAAGAGAAATTCTATAATTTAAGAAAAATTTCCCTGCATTTCTCCTATTTCTAATGTATACGTGAAGGTTCAGTTTTTTTTTTTTTAACTTTTCCACCCTTTATCTAATTATTTCTTCCTTCAGACAGGGTAGCGTATTGTGTTTCTCATCTGCCCAGAGGTTCTTCCTTTTCTATCGCTGGCTCTGTCCTGTGAGAAGTGTGCAGAATGATACAGACAGAACCCGACAGGAACCAGTTCTTATCACTGGGAAAGACACGTGTCAGGGGAAATCCCCCACCAATGGGGGTAGCCACTCTTCAGATTCATTGTAACGAAACAAAATGTAAACCCCACTGCTCAGCACACTGGCCCTATTTGCAGTGCCCGACAGTCCCCAGAGGCCAGTGGCAGCTGTCAGGGATGCTGCAGACTGCAGGATCTCTCTCTGTCCCCACTGAGGGTTCTCGGGCCAGCGCTGCACTGAGGAATCCATGGTCCAATGGGGAAATGGGTGGCTTTGGGATTCTTGAATTATAGTTATTCCCATAAACCTGGGGGTGAATGCATGTCTGGAAAATAAACTTCTTTTGAAAAGCTACACTAAACTGAGTGTGGTGGTGCTTAACTGTTAGCCCAACACTCTGGAGGCTGAGGCAGGAGGATGGCTGAGAGGTTTTTTTTTTTTTTGTACTGAGGATTGAACTCGGGATCTTATGCTTGCAAAGCAGACGGCACAACCACTGAGCTAAATCCCAAGCCCGATTATCGTGAGTTAGAGGCCAGCCTAAGTGAGTTCAAAGCCAGCCTGAATTACATGGTGAGACTGTTAGGAGATCGCACATGTTAAAATATACCCCCCCAGCCATTTTATATCTTACTTCCGGGTTCTTTCCTGACTGACTCTGAGTCCTTTCTCCCGCCGAAATTATAAAGCGCGAAATTCAAAAGACAACCTGGCTTGTGATAGGATAACAAAGACCGCTTCTCCCAAGGAAGGATCTTCCTTTGCCTGCCCTATAAATATCCCAGTATTTCCTCCTCTCGCTCTCTTGCTCTCTGCCTTCCTGCCTCCCGATCGCCTCCCTATAATAAAAATCTCCTGCCGGACCTCTCGGTGCGTGAGTGACATAATTGGGCAAGAGGCACCCAAAGGGGGCTCGAGACCCCTTTCAGAGACTGTCTCAAAAAACAACAACAACAACAACAACAACAAAGCGAGACTAGGGCCAGGGATTTAGCTCAGTGGTTCTGCCACCTGCCTTGCAAGTGCAAAGTTAATCCTCGGTACCAAAAAAAAAAAAAAAAATCAAGGCTAAAGGAGTTTGAATGTATTCGCCATAAAGAAATAATGCTTGAGGAAATAGATTTATTTAATTTGATTTAAATATTGCACAGAACACCACATGATACTGACATTAATATGTACAATTTTATGGTTTATGTATAAGTTTAAAATAAATTTAATTAATTATTCAAGGGATATGAGCTGGTAAAACTGATGCGATGAGACCCTTCCCCCAGCCATCATTTGGACAGAAGTCCTTAATCTTCTCACTGGTGATGCTGACTCCCCAAACCAAGCTCTCTGGCTCCAAAACCAAGAATTAGGAATGAGCAGGAAATCATCCCACGGGGCAGGGACTCAAGCCCATGGTGTGCACCGGTGCCGATGCCATGGTCTTTGAACTTACCGGGTCCAGCATGAAGAGGTCCACACCTTGCCCTGTAGAGAGTGCCACCAGCGTCGCACTGCCATATAGGGCGTAGCCCGCGGCCACGATATTTCGACCAGCCTGCAGGGCATCCTTTTCTGAAGGTTCTTCCTCTGTGGTCTGCAGGACGGAGGGAGGAGAGAAACAGAAATGTGGCACCTTATTGTCCTGGCTGGAGAGACCCTTAGCCCGAGGCCTGGACATCAGGTCTCCTGGGGCCACCAAAGGCAGTACCTTTCCAAGATGGGAAGACCTGGAGAAGCCCACTGCACTTAACCGGCTCCACCTGCTCCTCCTCACCTTTCCCCACACCTCAGCCCTTACGCATTCCCGAAGCCCACCCTTCCCCAGGAAGGCGTATTTGTTGTTGCCTCTGCAGTCTCCACCTGCTTAGTCACCTCGCAGATAAACTCTTCCTCTTTTGCAAAACTGTCCCTTCAGTGATTGGCACACTGTGCTTGGGCGCAACAGGCCTGGTTTGGTAACAGTTTCAAACTGCGGCAAATGTATCAGAAGAAACAAGGTGGTGTGTTCGCGTAGGGTTCTGGCTGAATTATCACAGCAGCTCTCTGTGGATTGCTTTCCTCCTGTTTTCCAAGCAGTTTTCTGCAGCCTACCAAGGACCGTGCTTTAAGATTCTAAAGCCACACCCCTCCTCACTGTCACAAACTGGGCTCCTATGGACACCAAGATCACAGAGCTCTGATCTTGTGCAGCCCTCAGAGGTAGAGAACATTGTTCTTGCCACTGTGCAAATGAAGAGCTCAGAGCCAGAGCAAGTAAACTTCTCCTCCAACATCACAAAGCCCACAGAGCTAGAACATCCTGTGGATGTCAGCTCAGGAGCCCTAGAAACTAGAATGTTCCATCCCCAGTGTTCTGATCTCCTGGTTTCCAGGTATGGCGACGTAAACACTCAGTGTGTTCTTTGAAGACCCCAACATATTGTCAAGAGTGTGCTTGTTATCTGACTCTTTCTCAGAATATTATCAGACATGATCCATGGTTATTTGGATCAGCCTTCAAAGCCTGTGTTTTATTTAAAATTCAAGAGAGAAATCTCTGTGTTAAAATTTGCCTAAACTCAAGTGTGAGTAATCTATACTGCGAATAGCAATATCTCTTTGTTTTCAAACCTATTGGTCCTAAGAAGATGTTAAGAGGGCCGGGGATTTAGCTCAGTGGTGCTGCTCCTTCCTTGTAAGTGCAAGGTCCTGAGTTTGATCCCTAGTACAAAAAACAACAAAAGAAAAACCAAGAAGAAGAAAATGCTAAGAACCACAATGGTGGAGTTAGAGGCCATTGCCAACCAGGTATGTATAGCCAGATTTCTTACCTTTTCTGTGCTTTCACTGTTTGTCAGTCAAGAGGAGACAGAAGTGCGTGTGCCTGGCTCATGAGGCTGTGATTTGAGACCAGGGGTACCGGGCACTGGGAGGAACAGAGCCTGACTGGGTCAGCAGTCGAGTATCGGCCAAGATGAGAAAATCAGCATTTAAAGCCCTTGACGATACAGCTGGGTGTCTTTTCTCAGCATTGCACAAATACTACACTATCTACTTCTCTGCTTTTAGATCAAAGCTGTGGAACTCACCTAGCTCAGCTGTGCCTAGCCTTGAAACATAATCTTGACCCTCAACCCCATCAAATGCCACAGTGTCTTATATGCTTTTGTCTGCTCCCTCAGCAGAAGTCTCCTTTGCTCTCCTCCCAAGGGGTCAGGGGAGAAAGGAGAAAGAGAGAGGATCACCAACCAGAAAAGCAAAATCCTCCGATGTTTCCTCACATGTGGCTGGTCTGGCACGTCACGACTAGCGTGAAATGGTGTCCCGCCGCTTCTTTGCTTTTCTTCCCTGAAATTGAGCCTGGGCTAATTCACATATTTCTGCTCAGCTGCATTTTCTGCTAAGCTGTTGACAGGTCCTGCTTAAAGATAAAATTTTACCCTTCCCCTTTTAGAAAACAACTAACCACACATATCTACAGCAATATGACCACACATGAGGCCACTTGGCCACACCTGACCCTTCACTGAATTTGCAATGGGGAAGGAGCTCTACGCAAGGCACACAAGGAATGCTCGATACGGTCGTCTTCCTTGGTCTGCAGTTTTGCTTTTCATGGTTCAGCCACCCACAGCCATTGGTGGTAGGAAAACACCATCATGGGTTGATGATCCAGGATCATCCGAAGCAGGTAATCCTCCTGAAGTACGGGGCGGTCACCAATGGCCTGAGTCTACGTCACAGTGTCGCATCGTTCATCCTACTCCATCTCATCACATGGCATCAGCATCAGCATCACATGAGAACAAATCATGTGAGCAGCAGTCCATATTCACACAACTTTTATCTCAGTATGCTGTTATAATTGTTCTATTCTATTATTGCTTGTTTTTGTGTGGTTTTTTTGGTTTTGTTTTGTTGTTGTTCTTGCTGTTTGTTTTTAAGACAGGGTCTCACTATGTAGTTGAGACTGACCTAGAACTCACTATGTAGCCCAGGCTGGTCTTGAACTCACAGCGATTCTCCTGCCTCAGCCTCCCGAGCGCTGGGATTACAGGCGTGGGCTACCATGCCTGGTTTAATATTACTTCTTATTCATCTCTTATTGTGCCTAATTTATAAATTTGGCTTTATCACAGATATATATGTACAGTGGACCCTTGACTTATAAACTCAATTCATTCCTGAGGGCTGGATGTGAATCAAGTTGGTCAATGAAGGCTCAGGCTCCTCTACACAATCTTCAAAGTCTCCCTCTTGTGCACAGGCACATCCCAGTGTCCTTAGAGAGACAATGGCCGGGGATTTCTTAACCCCACACAGCAAAGGATGTTGTGATGCTCCTTCCGGAACTCTTTAGGGGTTAAATCTTTATCTGAGACCATTTGGAAGCACAAGTGGCTGGCGTTTAATGGGTCATAACTCAAGACTTAGTTTGTAAGTTAATCCTAAAATTCTGGTTGTAACCCAAACTGTTTGCATGTCAATCTGATCATAACTCGAGGGTCCAGTGTATAGGAAAAAGCCTAGTACATACAGGGTTTGGCACTATAACTAGTTTCAGGCATCCACTGGGCATCTTAGAGCACATCCCCCTTGGGCACTGTGGGATTACTACAGATACTGTGTAACCAGTGTCAGATTTGTAGTGTAGAATAGAAATGCTCCTCCATGTGTGTGATCTTGAGTGTAGTGGAAAGAGTGCGGTCTCTGATGGTGAGTTCTAGAACCAGCCCGGATCTTCACCAGGTTACCAGCTTACCAGTCCATGAGACACCCAAGTATAAGCACCCTGGATCTCCCTCCTGCTAACCCCAAGATGAAGCTCAGACACCTGATTGCGCCAGGGATGATTTCTGTGACAGGCCACAGAGAATGGCATAGTCTGTATTTAGTGGTCTGCTGTGAAGTTTCTGGTCATGCTGGATGGTCATGAAACCAACCTGGAAGATCTCTGTGGTTACCCTTGCCCTGTAGGGTGATCCCAAAGCTATTCCAGTTATCCAGAATCTGTGAATATCTCGTTACGTGGCAAAAAGGGTTTTGCAGATGTCATTAGAGTTCAGGATTTAAAATAGAGATTACCCTAGGTTTTCCACGTTCATTAGCCCAGTTTAATCCAAAGTGGCCCTAAGAACAAATAAGTTACTGTGCTAAGAGGCAAGGGAGATGAGGGAGGGGGTAGAGAGGGGTGCCAGAGAGAGCTGAAGAGTGAGAAAGCCTTAGCCCAGCCTTTGCTGGCTTTGAAAATGAAGAGGCCACAAGCCAAAGGATGTAGGAAGTGTCTAGAAGCTGTAAAAGACCCCAGGCACTGGCCAGCAAAGAAACAAGGGCCTTGATTATTACCATAGAATGAACTAAATTCTACCAATGGCCTAAACAAGCCTGGAAGCAAACCTCTACTTCCAGCCCCTTGGTAAAAAGTCAGGCTGGCTTTTGCTTTAGCTTTGGCTTGTGGGAGCCTAAGCAGACAATGCAGCCAAGCCTGCTTGACTTTTCTGGCTTATGGAAGTGGGAGATAATTAGTGGACGTTATTTTAAGTCTCTACATTTATGGCAAAATGTCAGGCCAGCAACAGAAAACTAATAAATACTGTAACAGACAAGAAAGAAATGGAAGATGCACCTAGAACCTAACACAGGTTGAACATCCGTAATCCAAACATCTGAAAGCTAAAATTCCCCCTAAATCTGAAGCTTTTTTGAGTGTCAGTGTAATGTCATGTGTGGCACATTCCACACCTGATCTCATGTCACAGTCAAAACCCAGGCCCACTAAAAATATTGGATAAAGTTGCATTCAGGCCACGTGTAAAGGTATATATGAAAACATAAATGAGCTCTGTGTGCAGATTTTGGCCCCACCCCCAAGACATCTCATTACGCATGCGCAAACATCTCAGCATCCGAAATCTGAAACATTTCTGCTCCCCAGCATTCAAGATAGAAATACTCAACCAGAACCGTATCTGACATTTGTGTTCCACCCAGACATTCACTTTGCCATCCCAGGAATACAGGGAAGGAGTGGGGAAAAATTACCAAAGAGGAATCTGAGGCAGGGAGAGAGGGGCTCCTGGTCAGCCTGCAGGGATGTGTCTTGTTATGGAGGACAGCGAGTAGGACCCCAGATTCAGTTCTCAGCCCAGGTTCCTTCCAGGGACCCCCACGGAAGGAGTTGAAATGTCGGCTGGTCTACTCACCTTCCTATAGATGGCAAATATGGTTCCAATGGAGGCCAGGCAGTCGATATTGGACGATCCATCCAGTGGGTCAAAGCAGACCACGTATTTCCCCTGTATTACACAGGAAAACCCCACCAATCAGCTTATCTTCCCATTAGCACCGCTGTTCTGGGGCAGGGTACGTGGAAGACAACTCTATATCAAAACGAAATTCAGAGAGCCAGGCACCAGAGGAGAGGTAGCTCACTGGTACAGTACCCTGCTTCAGCACCTGGGAGATACTGAGATTTAGAGTTTTGGGCACATCCAAAGACGCCATCACTTAGGCGCAGCACACAGGACTTGTACAACTCAAGCCAACCCTACTGGACGCCTGCAGAGGGCGCTAGAAGTCCTATTTCCCCCTGCAAATGGTCTCTCACTGGCTCTGAGCCTGCATCCCTCCTGCAACTGGGCTCCCCAGGGCTCCTAAGGGTGTGCATGATAGTGACCGAGGCCTGGAATTGTCACCTTGCTATGGAGAGGTGTCATCTCCACGCGGTCCACAAACGCAGTTACGGTTTAGGGAGTACCCTTTGTGGGCCCCGCACCAGACAAGTGTTTTTCATCTTACAGCATTTTTGCCCCCCTCCAAAAAACTCCCCCAATTTAAGAAAATCTCAGAACATTCCCAGAGCCTCTGGTCTGGTGCACAAACACAAGGAGAGTAAGAATATTCCTCTGGGTTTTGTTGCATCTCACCCTCCTGTGTGATACGAACACCAGAAGGTAGGGTGGGTGGGGTCCTGAGCCCCCACATTTAGCACCCAGGGAGCTCCTGCCAATATTCTATGCAAGGAAACCTGCGGCTGCTTTTTATGGGCCTCCCTTGTGCACGGCACTGAGGGAACGAACTTTAGTGAAGAGGACTGGAGTCTCCTGGCTAATTAAACCCTGGCAATGAAATTTCAAGTAAAACTTCTCCCTCTACTCATATTAGTGTTTCCTGACTTTCTAAAAGTAATATAATAAGAGAAGAGGCTCAGGACACGGTGAGGCACACACAAAAATAGGGTGTAGTACGTGCTCAGAAGGAAACCTGAGCAGGTGAGGGCTGAGAGACTGGTTGAGGGAGGTAATCTTAAATGAGAGGCCTGTTTAGGATTAAGAAACGGAGTCCCACAGAACAAGGGCGGGGAAATGTCAGAGAGACTAGCGAGTGTGGCTGCATGGGGAGCAAGCATGAAAGGTTTTCAAGAACCGGCAGGCAAACCCTTATGGCTCAGGCCAACCTGGGAAGAAGGAGGCAGAGTCCAAACCCCCGAAAGATACCCACACTTATTATTGTCATATTAAAGGAGCACCCACCCACTAAGGCCTCTTAGTAAATCACTCTGATTTATAGAATCACCTTTCACTAGTCAGTCTAATATTTCCAAATAAAGCAGCGTACAATCACTTGATTCCAGAAAACGAATATTAAGAAGCAAGAAAATCCCTTAACTAAAGCAAGGCAACTCAAGGTTTTTCTCGGCTCTGGAGCACCATCTACTGGTAAGAATGGGCACTGTAGCCCGGCCCAGGACGCACCCTCCTCTCCTGGGAGGTGATGATGGCCTCTTTATTTTCTTCGGAGACCAGGACGCAGGTGCTGTAGGAGGACTGAAGCATGTTGATCACCAGGGCATTGGACAACACATCCAGTTTTTTCACCTCATCTCCCGTCACATTCACGCTTCCTGCGATTCCATACCTAAAGGACAAAAGGCTAAATAAAGTCACCCAGGAGGTTCACCAAAGAATGGCGGGAGCTGAACACCACCAGGGCCCCCCGTCCTTCCGCATCTCCACATCACGAATACTCAGGAAGTATGCTCTGCTTCACAGAGGTGGCTCCCGACCTTGCTTTCCTGACGCCTTGGGGACACTGTCACATTTCCTTCGTCTCCCGAGATTAAGCAAAATTCAGTCTCACTAAAATACAACCCTATTCCCAGCCCTGGGAGGCAGACCGGAAAGCAGAGTTTCTAAAATGAGACTCAACGCTATAATTAAGGACTCCAAAAATAAAGCATCGTGGCCTTTCAGCGCTGGACTTTCAAGTCTTTGTGGATTATCCTCAAGTAGAGTCCTGTTAGGCTGAATTAAAAATCTCCCTACAAGGGCTGGGGATTTAGCTCAGTGGTTCTGCCTCCTGCCGCGCAAGGGCCAGAGCTCTATCTCCGGTATCCCTGGCCCCCCCAATCTCTACAGTAGCTTGGTGTTACATAAACAACGAAAGAAATTTGGGGGCAGATTTAGCTAGTAGAATTTGCTTATTTAATACCACCCCAAGAAGGTATGACCGTGCACGCCTATAAAGCTCTATTGAGGCAACGCTCAGTCCCCACACGGTGTCAGGCACCATGGAAGCTGTGTTCCCACTACTGTGGCCTCTGGTCTCTCTCTCCCCTCCAGCCAGTCTTGGCCTCCAGAACCCCCAGTCTTGTCAAGCTCCAAGAGCCAGGTGCCTGCCGGGCACTTGGACCTTGACTCAAAGATCATTTTTCGGGGAAGCCTTCCCTGGCCACCTATTCTACAACAGCGACTCCCAGTCCCAAAGCCTAATTTATTTCTCTCCCTCTCCCTCACTGAACCATTTAGTGTTCGTGTGTTGTCTGTAATCTCCCAAAAGGCACGGATTTTCCCCATTGGATGGCAGCCGTGTCCTTAGTATCTCCCCTGTCCACCCCCCTCCGACAGTCATATCCCGCCTGGACCACTCCACCCCTCCAGCTGCCAATGTCCTGTGGCCTGCAGCCCCCAGTGAGCTGCTTCTCTCACTTTCGTTGCTGGTCTGCCTCCCCCCCTGCCCGCTCTGACACTCACCCCCCAAGCCCTCTAGGAGTCTGCCCCGCCATCTTTCCTGTGGTGGCCCCCTCTGTTCTTGGGGTGTCTTCCTGCTGTTGGCCCCTTGCTGAGGGCACGCATGGTATCTTACCCATCCGGGTTTCCGCAGTGCCCAGAGGCACAGTCCACGCTGCCCCGTGTTCACAGAATTGCGAAGAAAGGATGGCCAGAAGGTCATTTCCCTGCACTTACTTGTTTAATGCGGTTTAAGGAAGGAAAGGCGGCCCTAACCTCAGCCTCGGCGGAGAAGCAAGCCCTGATACCTGGCACCCTCTCCCCAGGGACGGCCTCCCCTCTTCGTCCCCAACCCCACCCCATCCTCAAATCTCACTCACTGGGCCAGCAGCCTTGGAAAACAGTGCTGGTGGTCTGGCCTTAAAGTCTGTACCTCCTGGTTCAAGAAGAAAGTTAAGCAAGCAATAACAGCATCTGCTACAACAAACTGGGTCATTTTGCCTCCGCATTTGCGGGGACCGCAAACACGATCCTCTTGTTTAATCTTTTCTCCCCCCTCTCTTTCTGGTACCAGTGATCAAACTTAGGACCCTGCACTTATGAGGCAGGCGGGGCACCCCTGAGCTAAATACCAGTCCCCAATCCTCTTGTTTGCTAAGGAAACCTGAGGCTTTCGGTCGCTGAGGAATGCAGAGCTGGAGCGTCTGTCCTAGGGTGGCCAGGCCTCTCCCTTGCTTTGCAGACAAACCATCACCACCACCCTCCTGCGAGCCCCACCTCTCCTGCCTGCGCCTACGCCCTCCCTCCACCTCCTGGGCAGCATTCCTCCTTCCTGAAAGACTGGAAACTCTCGATGACCTATAATTCCCCAACAGTTGCTTTAAATTAGATCAGGCATGAAAGAGTGTTTTCCACCCCGCAGGACAGCACTGACAACTTCTAAATGGAATGTTCTACCATCTGCGCAGAGAAAGCCATGGAGAGGCTTCCAGGAGGGTGCAAACTGGCACTCACTTCTCACAATAAGAAGAGGGGCCATGGGGATTTTGGATAACTTTAAAATTGCAGTTATCGAGCCCGTGCATAGAAATGTCTTCCTAAAAAGGGAAGCAGAGGAATAGGGCCTGAGGTCTCCGGACAGTGGCAGGAACATGTGACAGTCTGAGGCTCACAGGAAGAAGCAAGGCTGCTCCAAGAGAGAGGATAAACTTGTCATTCTCATAGACGAAATTCCAGGGGCCCAGGACCCCCGTTTCAACTGCGCAAAAGAAGTGCAATTCTGTCGCCCAGTTTCCAGGGCCGCGCCTGCCACCTAGCGGTCACTTGGCTACATCGGCCAGACAGCAAATTTCTCCAGATCTGGGGTAGGACCCATGGTAATAACGGAGCATCAACCGAGCGTTTATTATGTGGCTGACACTATAGAAATCGTCAGTCACACAGACTTACTAACCCTGAAAACAATCCTGCTCCGTACGGGCTGTTACTATTCATCTTACAAATGGGGTAACAGCCTAGCAAGAGTAAATCATTGCCCATTGATCACATTGTAGGAAAAGCCAAGTTAGATAAGTACCTTAATTATCCAGTTCCTAAAACCAGTTCGTATTGACACCCAACTACCACAAAGGCAGGGCTTTGCAACAGTTGAGTAAAAGCTCAGCCCAGGCAGCTGCTTGGCACCTGGGAGCCCTGCATGGGGAAGCCCTGTTAGTTTGGGTGAAAAATTGTGAGATGTCACTGAGGAAACTGCCCAAATGGGACAGTGCCCAGATACATTAGAGACACAGCGAAGCTCTCTAATGTCACTCAGGTGTGGGGCAGGGCCAAGTACCTGCACGTCACACTCAGGAAGGTCCTTGGAAGCAAAGCTGGGTTATTACTGCAAATGTGACCGCAGCACATATGGACAGGGGAAGGCTGAGCATAATATATCTTTGACCAGGGTCTCATTGTTGGGTCCCACACCCTAATATAAATAACATCTGCAATGATCTTCTAGTAATTCAATCTTGTGATATACTACTTTCTGTTAAAGCACTACATTGCTGGGCCGGGGATTTAGCTCAGTGGTTCCAGCACCTACTTTGTACGTGCAAGGACCTGAATTCAATCCCCGGTACCAAAAAAAAAAAAAAAAAAAAAAAAA